TAATCGAGAGAAAATAAGAAAAGAAAAAAGAAAACACGAATCTCCCTTCTATGTTTTTTACCTCCGTTTGTCCTTCTCCACTGGAGGAGGAACCGAACACCGCGCGGCGTGGAAATCGCGACGTGGTAAAAAAACGTGTAAAAATTACGCGAAATCGTGCCACGATACATGTCCGCTCGAATCGACGAACGAAACAAAAGTGAAATTGTATTGTATTGTATTCGTCCTACGGCGCGACGATACACGCCGAATGGAAACAAACGTACGCGCCGTATATAATCCCAAACATATACAAAGTCGAAACTTCGAAATCGTTTATCGTTTATTAAACGAGTTTAACCCTTCTTTTCCCCCCTCCCTCCTCCTCCCCGCTCTCGATGCGCGCGTTGCACCACCCCCGAATGTGCATACGAACGCGAGCTTCGAATAGTAAAAAAAAAAAAGAGAGGAAATTTTTTTAGAAACGACGAAACGAGAACGGAGAAAAAAAGAAAAAAAAGAAAAAGAAAAAGAAAAAGAAAGAGAGAATCGCCAATAAGTCGAGAGATATTACCGGAATAATTTTACCATATGGTGAACGCACGTCGTACCGGGGTCAAATGTCGCTCGAATAAAAACGTAAAAAAAAAAAAAAAAAAGAAAAAAATGCGACAAAACGACCTATCACATCCTCTTTCGTAATTGGAAACGAGCAGGTTGCAAAATGTCGTGTCAAAACTTCTTTTTTTTTTTACAAATTGTAAATTTTACGCACAATTGTAATCATTGTAATCGATTATTGATTAATCGTACAAAATTATAATAAAAAGGAAAAATATATATATACATTTATAAAAATCGATGCGTCGATCGTTACGCTGTGTATATATTTTTACGTATATAAAATTATAAGCAATGTCATAATGCTGGCGACGTATCGGCGATATCGCGGTAGCTGCGTATTTTCCGTTACCAAACGTTAAACGGGACGACAACACTGATATACGAAAGTTAAAAAAAAAAAAAAAAAAAAAAAAAAAAAAAA